AATCGCGAATCTCTTGATTGCAGTAGTGATAGTGCAATCAACTGTTCTTGAACTGAAGTTTTGAAGTTAAAATTTTGTACGTTTTATCGGTGCCTCATCTTTTTTTTTTATTGCGAACACATTTTTTCCGCCGGCGGATGCGTGCAGTTGCCAGCGCGATATCGAAGCTATAAAGTAAGAAGCAATGAGAAGCATGAGAGTCATTTCTGCTTGACAATCCCGAGCGATCAACGGTCGGATAATCATTCACCCTTTCCCATGTTGGAGCTTGTCGCTCGTGTAACGAGCCACGCCACGCGTATTGTTGCGACGCAGAAAATGCCCTCTCCTTCTCTGATAAAAACGCACACACAAGCGATCGTACTCACACCGGCACTATGATTGTCGAAGGGAACTGGAGTGCGTACCGTGCAGTACACACACAAATTTGGCACACGCATCACGTATCTCGAGGGCTTAAAGTACGGTGCGGCCTTGACAAAGGGATTATATCGTTATCGTCGGTGGTATCATAGTGTCGTATGAAATAAAAACGCGACCAGCGCAAATATTTCTCTTTCTCTCTTTATCTCCGCTTATCCTCGAGGTTTCTAATGTCCACTATATGCGCAACCACTCGTCAAGCTCAATTCGCCCTCGTGGGATCTCTTCGAGACTATACTCGGGGTAAAGCCACGAGCGCGCGAGTACTAAGCTATATATTAGCTCGCTTATTAAATGGATCTCTCGCGTTAGGCCAAGTGATCTCCAAGCGTACGCAAAAAAAAAACAGGAGTGAAGGATCGTCGCGAGAGACAGGCTTAGTGAAAAAAGGTCCTCGTCCGCTATGTAACGTCTACCAAGTGGCCCTAGAAATTAGTAATTATAGGTAAAAAAAGGGAATATCTTTATAGAAAAGGTTTTTTACAACGTATAGCGCGAATTATTGTATTTCACCGAGTCACCGAGTCAATCAGCGATCGAGAACTATGGCCGAGGTATTTCCGGCGAGAGATCTACGGCCGTGAGCTGCTTTAAGACTACGTTAACAAGCTTATCAGCGAAATCGGCTGTGCTTCCGAACGTATAACGATCTCCAATTTTATCTAGAAAAGAAAGCCCAACTTGTATACGCTCGAAAAACCGATTACTGATAATTTCTATCTTACGTCCTTATGCGATGTAAATCGCGAGGAATCGGCGACTACGTTTGCCGATTGATTGTGCGACGCGAACGTATCTGTTAAACTGATCATTTCCCTTCAACGACGATAAACAATCATCTGATGCTTAGTGGAAAAAATCCAGATGTGCTCTTTCTCGAGATGAATTCCGTACAATTCAAATGCCAGATCTATAGCCATATTCAAATAGACATATTTAGACTATACTGTCAAAAAGACGAGCAACCTAATGTAATTCCTAGAATTAAGATTCAATTGTAAGCATAATTAAATAAAAACACAAAAATATGTAAGTAAAAAAATAATGATGTGATATCGATTTAAATCACCGCGACAAAATGATATCTGACATGCAATTCTCATTGGCTAATTAGAAATATGCATATTTAATAGCATATCTGGATTTCTTCTACCATGAATCATCTAATGTATGCGATCAGTCGATCGATCGAGCCTGCATCGTCGTTCGTAGATAGAGCAAAGGATATAAAACGCGATCGAAATATAATACAATGGTTTTTGCGGTGAAACATAATTTCTCAGGACGGTTACCTTTAGAATAGACAGCGAAACGGAGCAACGCAGATGCGTTAATTCGGCACATAGGACAGAGAAATTGACGAGTCGAAGAGATTGGTCGAAAGACGAAGAAAATTCTTCTTGCCGCTCCTCACTGCGATCGATCTGTCGCGCGATCGTAACATTTCGAAGACGTATATATTATCTTACGTTCGACGTATACGTGAGCTTGGTAACAAGTAATCATGAAAATTCTAAAATTCGCCTTTCTTTTATGTTCCTTAAGCGATATTCCGCGTCGCGTTAATTTTACATCGCGGAAATGGCATTAGGGGCTAATGTGTCACTATACATATATGCGTGTAAATTCCGACAGTATTTATAGACGTTATCGTATTGTACATTATCTCATTGTCAGATAGAAAAAGTCTTCCCGCGTTAACCGTAGCGATCGTTAACCAACTTGAAGGGATTCGAAACTATGACTGAATTTCTCGAAAAAGAAAAACGATATTCTATTTAAAATTAGTTTTTACGGGAATATCACGTTTATTTCTACATTCATATGGAAAAATAAATAAAATTGGCACATGGAAAAAATTGCGTTTACATTTCAATGTGCTTCGCGCACCAGCGAGAGAACCAATGTGATAAATGTCATAGTTTTAAAAAAATAATGTTTGTATATCAACCTGAACGATTCAATTTACTCTCTATTCAACGCGCGTAAAACTTTCGTGAACGAAAGCGATTTTCACAAAATTCCTATAAATTTCTTTCAACCTTAGCAATATTGAAGTTCGACCCTGTTGTGTCACAGAGAACTTTTGTTGCCAAATGTGACGTTATTTTTCAGTATAAACCAGATTGTACCTATCAGTTATACATAAACAGTATTGTGTACGTACGAAAAGCTATATTTTATTTTATCAATATATGTATATCACTGATCCTTTTACTGCCATGAAACGTCATATGTTTTAACGACATCGGAGATTTGACCTGACGTTTCAAATTAAAGTAATTTCAATCAGACAGAACAAATGAATTAATAAAAATTCAATGATAAAAATCAAGAATGTTTTTACTGCGAGTAACGATAATATATTGTATAACATAATAGAAGTTGCTTTTATAAAATTCAATAAATTTATAAAAACAGAGTATACATTTCGCTATCGCGAAATTACAAATATTTCTTAATTGTGAAATATAAGATTTATAGGATCGAATAATGCTTGGCAAATATTTTCTATGCTTGTATAAAGGGATTGCGGAATAAATGTATCGGAAAAAGTTCCTACTGAATCGCCATCATCATGGCGAAAAATATCCGGTAAAACTTTAAGCAATTAGTCACAAAGCGAAATGGGAAACTGCATTGGGAGTAGCGGAGTGAAGTGAATAAAAATACTTTGTTGTTTCGCGCGCGAGGCGTGAATTGTATCGTTACTCGTACAATCATGTACGGACGAACACACACGCACGCATGCAGGTACACGCACAATTTAATAACCGATCGCCAATGGTGCTCCGTTTCTTCATCTCTCCCTTTCCTAAATCGTGCGATCTCCGCGGGTATCTTTTATGACAATTTATCTTACAATTGACAACAACAAATTTGACCCTTATCTCAATTATCCTCCCGTTACGTGCGTAACTACAAACGATTGTTAATAACGAACGTTTTTATGTACAGCTTTCTACACGCACGAAAATGTCCAAGACCGTCGTCAGCGCGAGAAATCGGCGGCTTGAGAGCCCCCGTTCATTGAGCTCGTGTCCTTTCTCATCCTGGAAGACATGTAAAAAAGCACCGAGGAGTCTACACTCTATGTCAGTTTTGTCTGAATGATACGATTTCTCGCGGATCCGCGTAAAACTCATGAAACTCGTATCCACATGTTAATATTCGCAGATCGATACTACCGTGTACCTGATTCGGACCACGTATCCTTTCGTACTTAAAGAAGTACATAGATAGACGAGAGGTCTCATGTACCAACCGATTGCTTCGCCGACGGCCAAATGCCACATAGCATCATATTCTCGCGTGACTTCTAAATCGTTCTTTCGTTGTTGACATTCAGTGTACGATCTATCATCGAAATAAATTTCGCAATGAGACTACGCGAACTTCTCGTCGAAGATCGTAATCGCGTTCCTGAAGAGTTACTGCTCGCATCCACGCAAATCAGGAGCTCTTAATTGCTTCGTATTTATTATGACAAATCACGTATATTAGACGATTTATCGCAACTACATTAAAAATTGGCAAATTCAATGTGAAGCATTTATTCGATCAACTAAATTAATAAATTATTATATATTATATAATAAATAATATTATATATATTAACCCTTAGTACACAAAATGGATCATTAATTGTGTCTTGCGTATTTCTTTTCTTGGAAATATCAGAAGTACTTGACTAAATAATGCTCTTTTCTTTTCTTTTTTTAATACACAACTTTACAAATACCTTCTAAAAAGATGTTAAAATATACAGAATAAAATACATTTCGTATTTGTATTCATGTCATATTGGAAACGGTTTATTCAAGTCCTTGTTAAAATTTTGTTGAATTTTAAACATATTCGAATATTGATTTAATACAATATGATTGTTATTTAAATAAACGTTATTTAAATAATTTGTTAATATTCTTGAAGCTTCCATAGGTGCTTTCTATATAAAGATGCGTTTCGCGGATTTCCTCCGTGTCCAGATCCATTCTTGTCCACTTCATCAAAGGAGCAGCTTGATGCTGTAAGGTTCACGAAACGTTGGCATTCCAAGAATGGATCTGGACACGGAAAACCCGGAGAAAACCCGCAAAATGCATAATTTTTAAATAGTTTGTGTTAAATTAATAATTAACATTTATTAGAATTAAAATAACATAACGTAATTTACGAGGAAATAAACAAATGACATAAAAATAAATTTTAAAACGTAAATTCTAACAAGATGAATGAATAAAATATGTGTTAATTTAATATATCATAAATGTTAATTTTACTGAAAAAATATGCTTTCACAGTTTATTTACAAACTGTGTGAATATTACATTTTTTTGTGTTTATCATTTGAAATAATATTTGTATTTTCTAATATATTTATCTTATATTAAATTAACATTTAAATGGACTGTTTGAGACACATGAAATGTGTTAAATTTAACATAAATTTTCTAACAATGCAAGAAATACTTAATAATTTTTGTATTACTTTCTTTAATGTAATTTTTGTAGAAATGATGAAAATAAAATCCAGACACGAAAGACTCACTATGTAAAGGAAAATCATCGTGTGTATTAAGAGTTAATATTTTATAATCTATCATTAGTATATTATAAACAAATTTTACTATTAAGTACTATTAAGTACTATTAAGTACTGCCAATTTCAATAGTTTATGACCCAATTTACTAGTACTTCAAATTGTATTCTAGTTTTGCGTTTCTAATCGGAATGAAGCTTTATTGGCGAAGCTCGAAATTGAGGGCACCTAGTCTGCATCGATACGAGATATATGTACCAACGTGACGTTTCCGAACGCGGCGATAATACAATCAACAGCGCAATATGGTATGCCGCGATCAGACTTTCACGAGCTCATCGCAATAACGTTTTTGTGATACATACATGTACGCCGTATAAAGGGACGCATCTCTGGAGCGTCACGTTAAAATACTGCGAACTAATCAGCATTACTGCTGATCAAAGGCTCGTTCTTTCTCACCGTCTCGAAATTTCTCCTCTGAATTGCCTGAACGTCTCCTTAAAACTCGTTGGCGACGTAGATTCCTGAATGACGTTGTTCGTTGCCGTGAAATGTCGTCGTGCTTCTCGCGAGTCAAGAACTTTGTTCACGTGGCTAAAGCGAATCGAGATCGACAGACGATGCATTTCCGTCCGAAAGATTGCCTCATCTTAGGGAGGCGCCGTAACGTTCTCAGGCACGGAAATATCTCTGTTTAGGGAGTTCAGCAGTTCCTCGTTCTCCTTTCGTACTGAAACGATAAGAATACTGGTAAGTAAAATGGAAAACTTATCCTTTTAGAGACATAAACTAGTGACACTAAACTAGTGCATCTCTCATCCTCGCACGTTTTCACAATGCGAGCGAACGACGACTATATAGATTTATGTTACCTTCCTTCCGTGTTGAAAAAGATTTTTCTCAACTTCGGATTAGACTTAATCGCTCGTGATTCAAAAGTAGCACAAAACTTAAATTAGTCTTATCGAGCGTTGCGGCGAAACTGTTACAGAGTTAAATCCACGAGCAAAGTGAATTAACCGCGGAGAAATTCCATTTAGCTTAAAATGATGGAGAAGGATCTCAGTTAGTGACTTTAAACTTAAATTTTGAAAGTCTCGGTATTCTAATATTTGATATTTTAGCTGCTTTCTTTTGAGGAGACACAATCGACACAAACGTCGTTTTATTCTTTTTGTTTTATCCAATCAATAAGTAACAAAGATAGAACGACACTTCTATCGATTGTGCCTCCTAAAAGGAAAGTAGCTTTTATAATTTTGGGTTAGTATCCAAACTTTTAGATTTCATTTTTCCAATTTACAATTATGCTCGGCCAGTTCCTTTGAATTGGATGCAGGATTCAGAAAGCTGTTGTGCGTCAAGGTGATCACCACCGCAAGCACCGAAGCTACCAGAAGGAAGATAAAGGTCCCCAAAACGATCATGGCGATTCGTCGATGACGTCGCGCTTGCTCGAGTTCTTGAGTGTCCTCTATCATCTTCTGCGTCTGCTTAATATCCCCCTTTGTCTGGCGAATAGACTCCTTTCGAGAAGCTGCAGTACTTGCCCTTCGTGGCCTGGTTTTCTTGCTAACGCTAGCTCTTCTATCATCCCCTGAAGTTTCACGTCGTCGTCACATATTAATGTTAAAACGTTTTCCGTACGCCCACAGGAATTGATCGATAAAAGCGATAATCCTTTTGTGGATGCTTCGAAGCAAAACGCGATACGTTCCATTCGTTTTTAATGCATTCGAACTATGACGTCACACAAAGTTGAGAAAGTCGAGTATTTTATCCGATTATATTTTTTTGATGTCGAGAAAAGACAAAACGTCAACAGTGAGTTATAAGCTCTACAAAGGCAATATTGATTCAAGATTAATTATAGTTTCCTTTAATTAATTATGAGGAATAAAACATTTTCTTCTATACATTAAATTCTCTTTCCAATTATTTCCTACCTAAAGGAGTCGGTTGCAGCTGTCTGCTACAGCTGTTCGTCTTCGAGCGACTCGTCGACGAGCTAAAACGTCTGCTGGACCGCTGATCGATGTCTAAGTTGCATCTAGAGCGTCTCGGACTGTTCGTTTGAGAGTATAGATTAGGAGAAGGCGATCTGTCGCCGAAGTCGGAAAGATAAAGACCGGAACGATCGTCCAGCTGGAAGCCCAGACTGTCTGAAGTGGATGGATGTAGACTGGAACGATGACCTATTCGGGTACCATTCGGTTCGCCGGACAATGCGTAAACATCTTTAGCACGGTTATAGAATCCTGATGATAAATCCTGGCCAGTTGCTGCCGCGAAATCATCCACATAAAGAATTATCCTTTCGCACGACGCGACACTCGGCCGTCGATTCCGATCGTCCCGATGATTAATGTCCATGGCGAGCGAATTAATGATCTCGAAAACGCGCCGAGAAGTCCAGAATATCGTTCTTCATCGTTATTTCTTCGCCATCGATTGCTTTACGTCTATTTGACCGGAGCTTATACCAAAGGATATATTTTTCCGCGAGGGAATTGTAAGTCTGACACTTATAAAATGACTGATCCATATTCCGTCATATTATCGATGATGTATATCGCATCTTCGAGGGTCACGTTATCCATCTTTTTATCCCTGTAGACTTGCTATCGTAAAGCACTATTATTAATTCGGAAATAATTATTTCTCTAAAATAATGAATTGATTTCGAAGACAGAAACTTTAGTCGTATCCTCGTTGCTGGCTGTAGGAAAAGATTTTTATGGAGAGTAGGTGATAAATAACTGGAAAGCTATTTATATCGCGTCGTAAAGGGTGATTAAAGTAGATCGACCGCGGTTTTCACGGGTTTCCCATCACAGGATAGAACATTCTCTCTTGCGAGCGCTTTCGAGTTTAATCGTGACCACGATAAACCGCAACAAGCATGAGAGGGCCACATTGTCTTCCATAAACGTCAGCAGTGTGCGAATATTCTTACAAGAATGCCGCATAAGCGTTTCCCATATATAAGACGTTTACAGAATACTTCGTATATATTACCTATATATTCGTCAGCTAATTGCTTAATCTTAATTACCATCTTATTCAGGAAATATAAACCTTAGTATCACGATTATTAGCACAAATATTGGTCCAATATCCCCATTGTTTATCAAAGCATCTAATCCAGATAGCAAAATGTCTACAATCTTCTAGCAGATTGTCGGCAGATTCGAGCATAAAATGACAGCAGTCTGCCATCAACTGCATCCACATTAGGCTTGTATTTTGTTAACATTGCCTATCGATATGAAGACAAATTGTTGGCAAAAACCGAGCAGATAATGCTGACATTATCTGACGCTTGCAGATTCTGTTACGTTTTTTCTAGCAGCCTGTCAACAGGCTATTATGTACGTCTAATTCTGTTGTTATTTTGTTGGCATAATGTATAGCAGACATTTAAAAAAAATCTGCTTTCTACAGACTTGGCTATCTGGGTAAGTTATCAAAGGCCAAAAAATTGTTTTATAATAATTTTATAATTTTAAATTTACCTCAGATACTTCTCTTTTTCGTTAAAATTAACGACGATGTTATAATATTCTCGATTATAATAACTCTATATTATAATTTATTATAATATCTTTACGAAGTTCGATGCGAATATTAAAGTTACATATATTCGTTGTAAAACAACGTGAAGTTCGAAAACAATAGAGATAACTTTGAAATCTTGTATAATAAGATGATTAAACTATATAACGATTACAAGAATAATGTTCTTGACCTTGATTCTCAAGGACTTTGAACTCGAAGACACGTAGTTATTATTAAATTATCCTTGACAAGTTATATTGTGCAGGTGTATCTTATTATAATAAACCTATTAGAAAGGCAAACATTGACGCAATGAACACAATCATGCGTCAATTCTAAATTATTATCGCTCCGATCAAGTGCACCAAACATTTTAAATAAAAGAAATAAAATAGAAGGAAATCTATTAAAACAATCTTGTGCCTATAATTATATAATATATAATATTGCATAGTAAAAAACATTTTGTATTGGAAACGATTCACTCAAATCTTCGTTAAAATTTTGTATTGAAATTTGAAAAACATATTTGAGTGTTAATTTAACATAATGTGATTATGTCATTTAAATATTTTATATTCAATATTTCTTGATGTCAAAATGACAATTAAAAAATTAAATGGATAAAATTGAATAACATAAAAATAATATGTTTTAAAATATAAATTCTAATCTGAAATGAATAAAATACATACTAATTTAACATATCATAAATGTTAATTTTACTAAAAAAAAATATGTTTCTATAGTTTATTTATAAACTGTGTTAATATTTTTGTGTTTATTTTTAAAATAATATTTGTGTTATATTTTCTAATGTATTCACCTGTTAAATTAACATAAAAATTTGAATCGTTTGGAACACGTAAAATATATTAAGTTTAACCCAAATTTTCCAACTGCGTAAATTTTATTTCTTTCGTGCTTATTTTTACACTTCGAGAATATGGGCGCCGTGATGAAATTATCCCAAGTTTATGGAGGCGAGTAATGACGTAAACATTGCGAAATCTTGAGAACATTATTGAGAAATAATTATAGAGAAGAAACAAAAGTTCTCCAAGAAGAAGAAGAAGAAGAAGAAGTAGAAGAAGAAGAAGAAGAAGAAGGACGGCTAAAAACGTCGATCCATGTAGTGGACGTCACCCTTGAGTTTATTGCGACGTGTATTTATAGCGATGTGGATCCAAGGCACCACCGATCCGCTCGCCGTGTCTCTTTCCTTGCAGCCCAAAATCCGTCGATGAATATATGCAAATTCCACGTGTACGACGCGCACGCACACATATTTTCACGTTTCATGCCGACAAATATACTTGGCCAAATATTTAGAGAATTCAGCACCCACGGGTAGCGGTTGAAATTATATATTTGAATCTCGTCGTCGGCATGTAGAATGAAGACGACGATCGATTTCTCGCTCGTCCCTTAAAAAAATCTCTTGGCAAAGTGAATTCGACGGATCCTCGACGGATGGATGGTCTCGTAGAATGGATGAGAGCGTAAACGATAGCCTCAATGGCGAGGCCGTCAATTTTTCTCTCCTACTTCGAAACCTATCGTGCTGAAGCCACCGACCACAGTTATCTACCCGTCGAAGTGCTCTTAACGGTAGTCACGGCTTCGATTTACCACATTCCGATACCCGCGTGATCGAGGAATTGGCAAATTGGTATCCGGAAACGGAAACTAGGTGTAATGGTATCGAATTCCCTTTGTTACGTCCGACGATCCCCGGGATCTCAGGTTTCCCAATTTACTTTGATCGAGTACGTAATCGGAAGGTCTTACGCTCCATAAGACTGGATAAGGATTTATAGGTATTTCGACTAGAAAGACTTTTTGCGGTATGTGACAAATTACTTAGGCGATCGCGTTTGAGACCGTAAATGCAATTTCACTTCATTCGTCGTATCCGGCGTACTTTTCTCCTATGCCATTTGAGATTGGCTCCAGCATCTCGCGCACTGAATTTCCCATTGATCCGTCCTCTCCTCATGCAACGTGCTAGATATTGGTAATCGATGATGCTCTTGTGCCGGTTACAGATGTTAGCACATACGAAAGACTGAATGCTATGAAGGACCTAATAATGTTCCGGATGTCGGAGATATACATTTTCTACTCTTTTTATTGGCAGAAAAAAAACATTTTGAAAAGGATGTATAATATTATTATTTTGTAATAATATATTTTGTAATAATTGTAGAAAATAATCGTTAGAAATTAACAATGAGATAGTTTATGATAGGCCAATCAAAAATTTTTATGTAAAATATATTTTATATAAAATAATATGAAATATATATATATATATATATATCAAAAAGATGAAAAAATAAATTTATATAATTTATTTTTCATCTTTTTCTAAACATATTTATAAATTCTGCCATATCTTTTTAGGAGTAAATCTCTTTCTGAAATAAAAAAAAGACTTAAGTTTGTTTTAAAAATTTTAAATCATCAAGGTAAATCGTCAAGTTTCCTTATACAGCTTCTGGATCAAGTTTTCTCACGCGGTCTTCAACGCAATTCATAAATCATCAAATTATCTCATATTCCATTTTCTTCTAGTGTATATACACCATAAAAATATCTCCACTAACACGTTTAAAAGTATAAAAATATGTATATAGCAAAAAATTCTTTGCAATTTCTAGGATCAATCACAAATTCGCGATTCGTTCTCACAATTCTTGTCAGCGATTCTAATTTACATTACAGGCTCTTCCCGAAAAGTTATTAATATAATAAATCTCTGTGTAAATAAGAAAATTCGCATTCTAGTGTAAACGATCCATTTTAAATATCTCGATGCACACAATACTATATGACTAATTATTTTTATCATTTTAGTATATATGGTTTAGTGCAAATTGTTTTTAGATTAATTATGAAATTTATTTATTAAAATCGAACAGATTGGATAACTTTGCGCGGCGACTATATGTATACATATATAGGCGAATCCGTTTCACTGTAGGCAATGATAGCTTACGTATATTATTATAACATACGTACATCATTTTTTTTTGGAGTAACGATAAATTTCATTAAATTTCACAAATTATTACGCTGAGAGGCCAGATTGAGAATAAGTCTTCTTTCTTCGATGTGATTATATTTGAATATTACGCGAGTATTTTCTCTGAGGAGATTCTTCTGGAAGAAGCACAAACTGCCAAGAACTTTGCTCATACAACGCCATTTCTTCTTTCCATCTTGCTACGCGAAAAAAGACGAAAACGAGCTGCAGCGGGAAAGACGACTAAAACGCTACTAAAAGTCGACCGGTTGGCAGAAGCGAAGGATAAGAAGAAGAAGAAGAAGAAGTAGAAGAAGAAGAAGAAGAGGAAGAGGAAGAAGGGAAAGAAGTAGAAGGAGACGAGATCTCTCAGGAAGCAAGACGATCGTAAAGGAAAGAACGACAGAGACAAAGAGGTGAATGTTAATGAGGCAGATCTCGACCTCTCGCATCTCCGCGAGGATCTCGTCAGGACTCGCGGTCGAAACTCAGATCCTTGCTTCCTCAGTTCGGCTCGTTCGGAATTTGCAAATTCAAATGCATTAACGCGGCAACATACAGAATAAAATAATAACAAGAAATTTAACAAATTTAATAAATTTCGAAGAGAGAGAGAGAATAATAAATTTTTTTAATTAAAATAAAATTGTTATATATTGGGTCATCTAAAAAGTATCCGCGGTTTTTTGTCACTAGATGTGTGTTGATGGTCATATATCAATATTTTATTTTCACGTTTTTGTGATGAATTACGAAATTTACAAATCATTTTCCGGCTTAAATGGAATTATTATAGAGAAAGAAGTTAAAGATGTTTTGAGGAAAACTATTATTATAAACTAAATTCTTTGACTGCAGGAAACAATATTGTGAACGTTTATTGAAAATCTTTTTTTTTTTTTCAGAAATGAAAATTTTGACATTTTTGGAAATTTTTTAATTTCTCAGAGTCACACAATGTTTATATTTAATATATCATTAGTGTCCACCTGGAATGATGAAACAGCTTAGCGGTGTCTTTTCGAAGAGTTAAATCGCGGGAAAGGAGAATTCGTTCTTCTCTCCAAGCTATTCTCTTGCTCAACTCGTGCGATCCGGTTCTTTGTTGCGCGACGGACGAGACCTGCTCGAGATTGATCGCGCGGTGGTGGGCTTAACGAGGCACGACGGACCTCAAAATCTGCCCGATAATTAATGAGAATCGTCCGTCTGATCGCTCAAGCAACGTAATAACATTAAAACGTAACGACGAGATGTGCATTGAGTATCTTCGATTGGGGAGTATGCTTTTATTCGTCGAGGAAGAATGCTTATTTTTCACTAAGCAGCAAAATAATCAATAAAGCATCAAGAAGATTAATCAAACATCGTTTTGAAATTTTTTTCATGAAGATCCGTTTTTGTCAAATCGATGATTCTTATTAAATCAAACAGAAGATAAAAATTTCTTACGAAGAAAATCTTTTTTTCCTGCAGCTTTGTGTTTATTTAGTAAATATATTACTATTATTTTTTATATAATTTTTTTTCATTTTATTAGAGATGTTATTTAAGTGTTTGTTTGCGATTTTTTTAAGATTGACATTCAATTCCATCAGATAATTAAATGTGCTGTTGACACAAAGAGAAATCCATTAAAATTTTATTCGGTAGCTCGCTATATGTCTGCTACATAGATATGCATCGATGTGATCCGGGCCATCCCTGAGTCTAAAAATATACATGTAATACTCAAGAATCCTTTCTTCTCGGTTTCACTACTCGTGCCATAGCCCGAGGAACACGGAGATGTATTGCGAGGACTCCGATAAAATCTTTCTGTTTGTATTTGCGGACTCTTCTTTAAAATTAAGAATTCTTTCTTTCGAAATACGTGTCTTCTCATATTAAAAAAAATATATATTTATATGTTTATTCGTATGTATGAAAAAATGCTACATTCACTTGTACGCTAAAATTGCGAAAATGAAAGTCTTAAATAAAAAAACAATGGAATATTTTTATTTGAAATTGCAATTTTTATCAGAGAAAAGAGAGAGAGAAAAAAAAGGAAAAAAAAAGAAGAGGGCTTGGAGATACAATAAAAATATATAATGAGAGAATATATAAATATGATAATTAGAATATACTAGAGAGAGAGACAGAAGCACTGGATTCTTTCGCTAAGTGAACTTTGTTTTGACATACTTATTTGTCACTTCATGCCACATTATTGCAAAAATACAGCATCGACACATCTTTAGCACGATGCGCATTCTTTACGCATGTTTTCATTTAAATTCGATGTGCCGCAATGTCCATACGAAGTAGGCCACTCTGAAGTGGTCCAACCTGTATAATTATTGGTGTATTAACGTCATGAAAAATCAAGGCCGTCGTTGACAGTCTTATGACCATCATATGTATGTACTTGATAAGCTCGTTGAAAGCGCCGTTACAGCTTATCTTGATCGTTGAATTAGCTGAAAGTAATACAATATGGAATAAAAATTGCGTTAAATTAAAAATAAAATTTTTAAATCCTAAAAATACAATTTAAATTACAATACAATCAAGATTAAAATAGGATGAGAAGAAGATTAATTAAAAAAATATTAGTCCATCTCATTTCTTGACATCTCCTGATTAAAATACAATAAAAATTTAAATATAATTCTCTCTCTCTCTCTCTCTCTCTCTCTCTCTATTAATATTTACATATATATTTCCTACATTTTGTTGAGATTATTCTCGATTCTTTTTTATACATTTAAATTATTTAATATCAATCTTTGAAGAGATACAATAGAGGGAAATCATCCCCAAGAATACATGTCGTGAATCATTAACGGTGCTCGTCTAAAGGGAAGCCTCGGACGTTCACCTTTCTCGTGGCGAGAGGACTGGCTTCCGGTCCTCATGGAAGAGGCTAACGAACGCTAAACCGTATCCGACGTGCGATTCCTGGTGTCTCCTTACGGTTACAAAGATAGTCGCACGTGTTGCTCATTTCCGTTCTTGTACATCGTGTGCACGAAGAAGATACGAGGAATAAGAATCTTTTTATGATTAATCTCGGAATTACTTAATTTAATTTAAATCTTACATTCACTTTTGATACATTATCTTAATTTTTAAGTCTTAAAATTTTTTAAAGTTTAAGCTGTTAGACAACATTTTATAATATATATACATTCCATAATTATATCATATAAAAAATAATAAGTTCAAAGGGCTAATTTGGGGTCAATGCGGTAAGAAGTGCGCAAAAAAATTTTTTTTTTCCTTAGATATTTAATAGATGATACAAAAGTTACATAAGATTTAATGAGTGCGAGTGATGTAGCAGACAGCGCACTGATCTGCTATACTCGAGATCGCGGGGTTCGATCCTCGGACAGAATCAAAAAATTTTCATACACCCGTAGCTCCTCTCGGGAAGGCAATGGCAAACCACCGAGTAGTATACTTGCCCGGAAAAGTTCCCTACCAAAAAATTGGGAATCGGCGTTTAAAAATTGTAGATCCCCATATCTTGTTGTACGATTAGAGTGCGCGTATCGATATATGAGAGAAAGGCCTACGAAAGGTGCTGAAGCAACGTAGAATACGAAGATTTACTAGCGTAGTAGTAATAAGAGAGAATAAATTATATGCTTCAATAATTCAATATGTCAATATAAGTACAAGTCATGTGTAATTCATAAACAAATCCCATTTATACATGTATTATATCTAAGAAAAAAAAATTTTTTTGAGTTCTTACTGCACTGATTTCAAATTGACTCTTTGAATTTATTATTTTTTATATACAATTATAAGGAGTTCATACACAATTACTTATTTCTTATTACTCTTTTATATTATATTAATTTAAAAATTAAAATTTTCCTAAAGGAAAATTATACTCTTACATTTATAAAAAAAAAACTTATGAAGTTTGATATGATTCGTACATTCCAAACACTTTTAAATCTAAAAGACCATAATATTCAATTTAAAGTGATGGCAATCGCGGTCACAATAGATTGCGTTTGTCTCCAGGAATTGAAAGAGGGAGAGAGAAGATAACGAAGAAAAGGAAAGAAAGGAAAAGAGACGTCCTTGCTGACGAACCTCCTTTGATGTCAAATAGCTAGACAGTATATTATGTTGCCTTAATTCGTGTTTTGATTTCTTACTGAGGCAAAATTTTCCTTCTCTCTAATTTTTTTAAACAATCATTTTCGACATTATGTCATTTTTTAGTATTATACATGTATCTGCAAATAATTGTACATATCTATTGATAAAATAGAAAAATAAGTAAATTAAAAATATTAATTTTAATATAACTTTTTTCCTGTTCTTTTTTTGTATTTTGCAAAAAGAAATAAAGAAAATTATATGTTGAAATCTAACAAATTCATCCAAAATTCGACTACCGTCTTCTCTACGCGAGCCGATTAAAACGGGAACCGGTCTCCGAATGCTGAATTTTATTAAGTCTCCACAGAATACCCTAATGTACTTAATTAGACGTTATAAACTGAACTCACATTTGCATAAGCTGTCGAGTAGCCCAGCTTACTATCGCCGGTATTAATCTGTTACTTATGTGCGACACAAACAGAATAAAATGAGAGAAGAAACAAACACTGAAGGAGGATAGAAGCAAAGAAGGGCATATCGAATCCGTGATATTTCACCTTGTTCCGTATAATTAGCGATACTAATTAACGGCCGTATCCTCACGCTCTTGTCAAACGCAATTACGCGAAGTAAACATGAATCCCGTGGATCTTACAAATGTGCGAATATCGTATGACACCTTTTGAATATTATTTACACTAACATGTAATTATGTTAACTTAAGAATTAGGAAATACATAATCTAATAGCATATAATTGAATTTTTCATTATAAATTTTATTTCATACAAAATTTTTAATGTATTAATTTAAATGTGCTAAGAAAAAAATTCAATATTTTTGTTTAAACATGGACGAATTATATCATAGTATTACGAGAAGAAAAACTAACCGTATTTTATTATTCGTGAAAAATCTATTTTATATTAATTTAAATTTATAATGGTTTAACTTTACACCCACAGACATATACGCATGCATATCTAATTTGAAAGAGAGTGAAGAGTGTTTACAATTATTTGATATATCTAAAACATTACTCGGATCATGATGCGGTGTAATTAAAATGATAAATTCGCAGGTTACACCATGAAATTCTCTGGCGTTTGAGGCCACCGGTTGAAGGTAGATCATCTGTCGTTACCTATTAGTCAAGGGGATTTCGTAATTATTAGTTCCTGGGATCATTAGCGTTGAAAGAACGTCCCATCCGACCAGCATCATTGCCTAGAGCCAAGCAGAGCGGTTGTCCCCTTATCCTCCCTATATTTGAGGATTATTTTAGCGAATTTAATGAGTTATCAAAGTTGGCTGCGGATCTCGTAATCGCGGATCTTGCGAGCGTGTCCGATTGCTCCCGTTTTGAAGGGGGGGTTTTTTTTTAATCCAAAGTTAAAATGTGCAATTATGCGTTTTCATCGTGTCAAGTAAAAACGGTGCGTCAGATTAACGAGTGTTATGAACGTTCAGGAAAAAACTGAATATAACTCCTTAATATTAAAAAGTTTCATTAATAAATGTCTGTTTAGAAAATGACGTTGTCGGATTATAAATATATTTACATTTATTTTTACGCCACTAAATTAGATTGGGTTGCAAAAATATTAACGCAAAGGGATTGTAAAAGTGTTATAATTTCTATGAATATTCTGTTTACAAAAAAAAGGATATTTGCGTTGCAAATGATTACGTTTTATTATAACATATGCACAAAAGATATTGAAATTATATTTTTTTAATTCCGATTTTTTTTCTGTTATAGGAATACGTTCTTTCACCAGCCAGATGATGTTCGCCAGATTTTGCAGACAGGTTCCAGATGGTAAGTGTTTCAAAAATATCCTATTTATATATACTCTATTTTACTTATTTTTTGATAAAGCTTACTTATAGACATAAGCACGGAAGCGTAATACTAACATTTTGACTTTTGATAAAATATTCGATAACAATTGATAAAATAAACAAGGAAGCAATCGCTGTATCGATTATCCCTCAGAGGGCTCTCGAGAGATCTCTGAGAGATGCGAGTTCGCGTGCCGAGGTCGCGGTCTGTCGAAAAGACGTGGGAACGGGAACGTCCTCCTTCGTGCTTTAAAGCCGCGAATTAACTCCTTTTTGTTTCTCGTCGTGGCCGCGGCGTAGATTTTCGACATCGAAATTGTTCGGCCACCGACACACCAAGGGTTACGACTTCTTGTAACGAGACCTCTGCGCTTATTCAGCTCGAATGAAAAATCGTGAGAACTTCTTGAAAAAAAGTTTTCTGTTCTTACGAGCACCATTTTGAAAAGAAAATTGCAGGTAAATTATCTATAACAAATATACATATATATAGATACACGAAAACATACAGTATATATAATAAATATGTATAATACAATTTTGCTTATTTTATTTTGTTTTTTTTTTTATTATATTACTTAATACACTAATTACTGTAAACATATAGATATTAAACTTTTTACAATTTGTACATGAAAAATACTTCATGTAACATTCAAATTTTTATGATTACTTTTTATATTTTTAATTAGCATTATAAACGTCAATATATCGATGATTAAGCTGAGCAGCTATAAATATTATCTTGGATTTAAAATGTGAAATTCGATTCGAAAGTACAGTTAACGTAAGAATGCAGTTCATTCGAAACAGTCTGTAAGATAACAGTAAAAAGAGAAGAGAACCTTATTAAGCCATCTTAATTAACAAGCCTTCTTCCGAAGCCATTCTTAAACGACGCCGTTAGACACATTCATGGAACTCTAACATTTAATTCTGCGATATGGAATTTAATGTTCCAATTAATGACTTTATCATGGCGATGCTGTCTCTTGGGAAAATTATGATACGATCTCCCTGAGCGGGATGTTATACGTCGATGGCAACGTATTTTTAAACCTTTACAAACGAACAACTGCAATCTTGTAGAAGTACGCGAATCACATGAATAATTGCGGCAAATTCCTTTAAATTACTGAGATCTCAGAATGATTTTTTTAAATACCTCTCCTCGTCGCTATATATTTTTTAATTTAATTGATTCTTGTATTGTATAATTGTTATTCTTTTACTTATAGAAGCAGTACTTTTTTTGTTAAAAGTTAAATTAACACAGAAAATAAAAATAGATATTTTAGTCCATTTGTTATACTATGAAACAAAGATATAAAATACTATGATATCTATTTTGTTGCGTGCAATTTAAAATTAAACTATACGAAATTTCGATTTAATGTATCCCTTAGTTAATCATTTGACGGGTCGTTTCACGTGAAGTGATAAAAATCTCTTCGATCTTTTCGAGCCGCCTGTTTTCCGCTAATTTGCCGTCGCAGGAAAGGATAACAGAAGAAAAGGGTTTGACCTCGAGAAGAACCGAATGGGAAGCATAACGCCGACTCTTTTAAAGACGTCGGCGCCGCTTAATTAGCATGCTAATTAGTTGTGCGAATCTCGTGACGCAGACGACGAGAATATGCATCTCGTTCAGGGTGCATTCTCAGGCAGGACTTGGTCAGTGATCGATTCTCGTGGCACGAGCATCATTAATTATTTCACTCGTGATTAGCGGCCCCTCGTCAATTAGAGTCGTGTTCTAATAATTAATTAGATCGAATGTAGTTATGCCGAAAGCTATTATTGATATTATCATTTAGAAAAATTATTAAATTTCAACAAAACCATTTCTTTAATTATTAAAAAATAATTAGTATCAAATGTACCGTTAATGTCATTATTAATATATTAATATGAAGACATATATTTAAAAGAATAATAAAATGAATAAAATTGACCATGACAAAAGGGTTACATAGTCTTTTATAATCTTTTAAAGAGAGAGAGGATTTACGCCTCAAATTTTTAATTATTTTTGTTTAGCTTTGCAACATTTGTAATCAATTAAAATTTTCTTACGCGCTCTTCGTATTACCATCCGGAATTAATTTCCTTATTGAGGTGCTTTACAAAATTCTTTAGGAATTTAATCGGTTACCAGCGTCACGAGAAAAGGGGGTAGGGAAGAACGGTTAATAGATTCCTAATCTCGAGCGCATTGACCGATTGAAGGTGAGATAAAACGATAGAACGGGATGTCGGTTCTGGGTAATACCGAGTATATCGAAACACGGCATCAGTCGTTAAAGTACGCGATGTAAATAGGTATTTCTACGCTTAACAACGTCGTAACATTGTTAGACCACATTCATTAACGCGTTGTTTTCTGCATTCAATACACTATCCCGAGCATCTATAACAATCTTCAATATTCTTAATTAAATATCTATTTACAAAAATCAAGAAATGTAAACAATTTCCTTCCATATATTTTTATTAGTATTTTAATGTATCATGATATAGACATTTTTCTTCAATTATTAATATTATTAATGATATTCTCAAATATCTATCGCTACTATCAATAAGTATTTGTGGATACTTGATGAAAAGACGAGAACGAGGAGAGATGACCATAGGACGTTTTATGCCACCTCGAGACGAAGAGCATTGTCCGCGCAGCGGGATGGCGATGTTTAAGCGAGGCCTCTCGCCCGGGGCGAGATGTGCCTCAAATTGATTTGTTGTAAGCGATATGCCACCCCTACGGGGCGAGCGAATGGCACAATAATTGGCTACATAAACAATGACCGGCGAAACGATCCCTCACCGTCCCGACATCTCTTAAACGCCGTTATCTCGCAACAATGTGAGACACCGCCGCTCGTGTGAACACAGTTAAGCGTGAACTTCGAATAAGACATCTCTCGTCATAGTTATCATTTATGTCACGACTGACTGAACAGTTAAATAAAATATTATTAGATATATACATATATATGTATATCTATACAATATTTATACAATGTAATTATAAAATATTAAGTAGTAATCTGTCAAATTTATATTAATTCTCCCAACGTGTGTAAATTTATGAATTATCTCTGCCAAATACTTCTGGCGGAGTTCAATTAATCGATGAGATTTTCGAGACTGAGATCCATAAGGAAAGCGTATGCAGGGCGGCGAAATCTTTCAAGATGGTCAAGAGATCGCAGTTTTGCAAGGGAACGGGTCAGATTGGCTTCGTGGCTAAAAAGTAATTGCGAGATCCAAGATATCGAGCTGACCAGCCGCTACACAATTTCGGTTTACACATATGGTACTCTTCGCTTCTTCTTTTTGTCTGGATTTTCGTCTGTACATCATATTAAAAAAATATATCTGAATGTTGAAAGTTCGAAACAAATATATACGTTGCAGAGAAGAGTCTAAATATCAAAAGTTACGATTTTTCTTAAAAAAGCCTGAGATAATTGAGAAATTATTAACAATTTATTTTTAGGAAGTATATATATTGTATTATAATATTTATAAATATGTTATATTTATTATTTTTTTATGGGGAAATATATGTATATATATATATATTTCTCATACATGTATGAGTAGTGTGTCCGATGAATATTAATATTCGAATAAATGAATAAAAAATGAATGAAGATACTTATTCGAATACATTTCTTTTTTATTCGTTAAGAAACGAATAAATATATTTTCATTCCATTGGAATGAATATGTTTTTAATATGTTTACGCGAATATTTTCATTTCGTATTCACTTTTACTCTCTGTATTATCTGCACATAATTTGCAAGAGAAAATAGAAATCTATAAAAACAATGGCTACGATTACACCGTGCGCTTAGTTCGCGACTTATACGATGATCCTTGTTTAACCTATAAATTAAACAAAGACATTTTTATTGTGAGAATAAATAATACATCTCGGAATTTAATGTCCACAGACCATAATGAACGTCGCGCCCAAGATATTCTATAAAATATTTATAATATTACTGTCATATAACCGGAATTATATCAAAATAATGTAGTGCTCTATCAAATAGATAGATTTATAAGTAAAAAATGTATCTTTCTAAAATATTTTTCAAAATTTTTAAGTTTCCTTTATAAAATCTGAATATTATAAAATAAATAAAAGTCATTTTTTTTTTACTTAAAATCATCAAAGTACCGGCTATAGTTAAGAGATAATGATTATTGGAGCTTTCTTTTTCAGTTTATATTTTGTTTGAATGAATATGAATACTCATTAAATATTCATAGTTTTTTTGTAAATAAATATTTTTTGAAAACTCAAAATTTTAAATGAATATATGATTATATTATTTTTATGTGAAAATTTTGACTAAATACAATTTGGAGCTCAATTACAAATCTTTGTATTCGGGCATATTATGTATGAGTATATAGGTGATATATATTATAAAATTTTGCGGATATATAAGAAATAAAAAAAAAGAAAAATTTTTAAGAGAAAAAAAGAAGAAAACAAAGTCACCGAACGCACGGAGTGTATCGAATTCATGCTGTTGCAGCAAACCACAATGAATATGTATCAAATTTATGGCGCGCGGTTTTGTGGTACCGTGAGGTTCTCCGCCCACTCACACTCGCGTGCACGTTCATGATTTATGTTGCTCGTAATGCAGATGGTACTTGCCGAGATCTTCAAGCCAAGAATCTCAAAGAAAAAGGAAAATTATCCACCATTTTTTCCTTACCGCATAATTTTTCTTGACTAAGGCAGAATTAAAAATCGTCTCAAGAACGATAGATGAAGAACAAATCGATGTTGTTGCGTTTGAAACGCGTTAATAACATTTATTAGTGATTTATCTTTTATCAGAAGCATGCGCACTTTTCTTCAATTTTCACCGACGTTAATTGCATATTCCGTTATTGGAAGATAACATCTAATACCGTTTTAGATGGGGATAATTCTCTATACATATGC